ATAGATAGGACTCAGGGCTTGAGGCTAATACAGAGCCACGGTGAGGAGTCTGAGCTAAGGTCAGTTAATTCCTGGCAAAAGTGGGCAAGTTGCTTACCCACTGTTGTCCCACAGTTTCTACATCCCATGGCCTAGATATAACCATGGTATCTACCAGATATGAGCGTAACGAAGATTAAATGACTTCATATTTAAAAAAAAGGCAACTATATACTTCTTATCACTATTTTCCTGCTAGGGTCTCTTCTTCCACCCCGGATACTCATTAAAGGTTTCCAGGAAGCCTGAGACAGCTCAGTCAACAGAGCAAATCCCCAGAATATGTGTGAAAAAATCAGGGGTGGTGGCACACACTTCAACCCCGATGCTGGAGAAGGCCCAACAGAAGGATCCCTGAGGCTCACTGACTGGCCAGCCTCACCGATCAGCGAGAGTCCCTGTCTGGGAGAACAAGATGGACGGCACCTGAGAAAGGACATCTGAGGCTGACCTCTGGCTTCTACACACTCCAAACATAGAGCTGCACCTGGACACATATAGACATGCACGGAACGTCACGCTTTTAATATTATTATTTATGTATTCATATTTTCATTCTTAGCCACTTGAGGGCAATGCAAAGAGTTCACAAACAACTCAGTAAAATAACAAAACAAAATAAAAACTTGAAGCACTCCTCAGGTTTTCCCTAATTTTGTGTAACAGGCTGCTCACTAACAACACTGTGTGCCATGGACTCTTAGGCTAACTCCCCCCACCCCAGAACTAAGGCTTAACAATGATATTTATTTCAATGGGATCTCAAGTAGCCCACGCTTGTTCAAACTTACTAGGTAGCTGTGGCTGGCTTTGAACTCCTGACCTCCCTGCTTCAGGCTCCTAAGTGCTAGGCCAGGGCTACAGGAATACACAACCATATTTCAGCTCAGTTATATAAATATTTTTCTTCTATAGGGTATTAAGTGAGAAGCCTATTTGTTAAAGAGCTGTGTCTGGAATCTTAGAATTTTCATAAACAAAGATTCACGACTATCTATCTCTTTATATATGTATTTTTCTCACATTTACAAGAACCTATAGAAAGCCTCCAGGAAACCCTGCAAAGTTATGAAGCACACCCATACTAATACGATTATCAAGAGTACAGTAGCTGAATTGCCACAAATGAACAATGGCTAAGTTGTGAAGTGGCTGACACAATGAAGATGCACGCCTGTCACATGAGAAGAATCAATCAACACTAGCAAAGATCAAAGACACGCCGGAATTGTCGCTAGCAGGAGCAGGGCCGCCATCGAAAGTCTCGGGAAACCGCTTAGAGGAAAGCAAAGGAAGCATTTGTTTTAAGCGGAGAGAGACACCGCATGGGCTGCGTGTCAAAAGCGGCCTTCGTGTTCTTACACATGCACATTAGAGCTAGCTAAAATTAGCTCCAGTTCCTATTTTATAAAGGAATAACTGTTTCAACAAGATTTCATGGCACTCAGTTGAACACAGACTTTCTAGGGTTCCGGAGCTCTCACAGAAGAAGCCCCCCTCCACGATCCACCCCTGCAACAACCCAATCCCTCCTGCCACCCCAGCTTTGGAAAAACTGGCCAACAAAGGCTGTACCACCATTCAAGCTCCCCTTCTTGCTGCCTCTTACCTTCACCCTACGCATTCACCGCCAGCTCCTGTGTCCTTAGATCCAGTCATGCCTTTTGTGTGTCCACCCCTTTGCCAGGCACAGGACCCCAAAGGCCAAATTCAAAACCCTTTTTATGCCAGCGACGCTTCCAAACTGCTCTTCGGATGGACTTCTCAGCTATTCCCATACCCCTGCCAGTCTCCTTGACTTCTGCAACTCAGAACACCCCCCCACCTTCAGCCACAGTTGCCCAGCCTACAGACGACATACAAGCAAGCTTTTGCTTGTTGTCCCAGCCGCTTGCAAGACTTTCCTCTGTCTCTCTCCATCCCTTCCCACAGAAGTGCAATCCCAGCCTTCAGAGACCAAATCACATGATCCTCCTCCTCATAGTCTTTCCTGAGCTCCCACCACCCTTTTAAATTCCTTCCGGGTCAGAATGTACCCCTCAGTAAGTACAGCCCAACCCTTTCAGCTTTGTTAGCTATTCCAGCGCATTCCTCCTTTCTCAAGCCTGGTCACGAAGAATGTATAATCTCCTGTAGCTCTTACTCACTTGCATGTCCACGGCACCATGCAGTAGTTAAAAAAAAAACACCCAGTGAATGTATGAATGAATCACTTCTTTACATAGATAGTAACTGTGAATAAGTTAGGTCATAACTTGTTTAGCTGCATCATCTTTATAAAATAACCAGCGCCAGAAATAATAACCCAGACTTTCATTTAGAAGAATAACATGAATGTATCAGAATACAACATGATATTCTCTCCCTGCCCACAGACAGCCGTCAGTTGTGAGGACCATAATGAGGCCATTATGTATGCAAAATGCTTAGAGAAAGTGTAGACGTTTCTTTTCTGCGCAAGCACAGAAAAGATCAACAGCCTAATGTTCCAGGTGACATCGCGCTATTTTGTCAGCAAGGCCGTGAGGATCACGACACTTAACGGAGTGGTTATGAGACCAGAAACCCCTGCATCTCAACAAGCAGGCCATGCTGCCCCCAAGATAAGGCTCCTGGCAGCCTGTCTTGTTCATAAGAAAATTCTTGAGATTGTTTGGTTATAGATAATGACTCTCTTCAAATACCACAGGTTTTAAAAAAGAAAAGAACACCTCACCCCACATACTCTTGAAACATATCTCCTGAAAGGTCAGTGAAAGGACCATCTATCTGCCTGGCAAAATACAGGTATTAAACAGGTTCCCCCGAAGAGGGAAGGCAACAGTGTGCTGCCCCACCCTGCCCATTAGCAGACACCTGCGAATCTTAAGAGCCTTGCCCTGCCAGTAGCTAGACATCACTTACTACCATTTAAATGGAGTCTCTCAAATCCACAGTCAATACAATAGAAAGAACCCATTTGCATAATTCAAAAGAACACAATGCTTGTGGCCTGGTAACTCCCCCCATTCTCTGCTTGGCCGAGACTCTTAGATTTTTTTCTTTCTGTCTTTCTGTCTGTCCATCTGCCTTGGGAACTGAACCCAGAGCTTCACACATGCTAGGCAAGTGCTCTCCCACTGAGCTGTGTTTCCAGACTTCCAGCTACTCTTTCTAAGGCTTAAACATAGTTATTAGTCAGGCCTTTTATTATTATTCAAACAAACTACAAATAACTCTATTGATGCAAGCTATTCATCAGTTTATCTTACAGTGCAAAAAAGGTATGCATCCTATCACAATATGAGTTAAGATAAGTTCAGAATTTAAAATTCAGAAAAATAAATAGAACCCTTATTGGCTTTGTAGAGCCAACAAATGCCTACAGGGTTGGTCCAAAGGCCAAGGTCTGGGTATATTTACTTGTTCTTAGTCATGTATGGTCCAGGAGCAGCCATGGAAAAAGAAGAGATTTACATTCCCCCTCCCTGTCTAGAGATAAGCTATGTGCTAACAATGATAGCTTATGAGAACAGGTCATATATAAGCCATATGCCCGGCACACTCAAGCCACACACATTCATTTGTTTTCAGTCCATCCCACAGTAGCCCTCTGTTGTCCTCATCGTACAAGAAGAAGCCGAGACATGAACAGGATACAGGCATGTGCACGATCGAAGTAGCATCTTGATATTTGAAATCCAAACACTCTGGCCAGTGTCAGAGCTCCGGGCTGTTATCTCGGAGGCCACGGAGCTTGTACTTAGCTTAAAATAAACTGGTTCTGTGGCGTACACACAGAAAACTGGTGAACTTTCTTGGGAGTTTGATTTTTGTTTTGCTTTTTGAGAGGGGTCTCGGGCTGTATCCCAAGCTATTCTCAAGCTCACTGCATAGCTGCTGCTAGCCTCCGACTCTGGCCCATCCTCCTTCTGCCTCAGCTCTTCTTATCAAGTGCTGTGATCACAGACATGAGCCACCATGCCCGGCTCCACTAGGCCACTTTGTAAATGAACACTTGGTAAAGCCAGTCTCTACCTCTTGCTGAATAGATTTTGATGTCCTCCATTTGGGGTGTGTGGTTTGGTAAAAGCGCCTTCTGCTTCTTACCAAGAAAGGAAACAGGAAAGTTCCAGAAACACTTCCTTCATTCCAGCAGACCAGCGGGGAACATTCTGATTCAGGAGGTCTAGGGTGGAGCCCCAAACTCTGTTTGAAACTCTCTGAGTGAGTCTCCTGCCCAGCCAGCCTTTGGAACTTCTGATGTTGCCTGGCTTCACGGCTTCAAGCAGAACTACTCTCAAGGCAGCTAGAAATCTATCTTTTATTTTCTCTTCCACAACCCCCTCCCTCGCCTGCTTGTGTACACTAGTGTCCCCAGCCCTTTCAGTCCCACGTCCTAGCTGAATTCCATTCTCTCTGGATTTCACAGAAGGGCACTGGCCTCCTGTCTGCTCTTTAACGGAGAACCCTGGGTCAACAGTCCTTGCTTACACGCTGTTTCGAGACTCTCTCAGCCAGAAAATTTTACTGTATGTGAGGAAATCAGGAAGTTGTAAAATCCAAACAGACACAAAGAGACTCAAGATTCAACAACTCCTGGCAGCCACCGACCCAACAAACAGTTTTCTGCTTCCTTGCAAATGTATCATACTACAGTTAGAACCTAAAACGGGAGAACCAGTCTCAGGGGAGACGGCAGCTTAGTGTTCTTAACTGACTTAAGGAAAGGTGACACGGAAAATGAACAGGCACAAGCCCCAGGCAGCAGGCATCGATCAAGACAAATTCAATGCAGATTTCTTCGTGAACCAAATAGACCACAACCATAGATGCTTTTATCCAGTTTTTATACACACATACACACTGGGCAATTTTCCATACACTAAAGTTATGAAGAAAATTCTATTTCACAGTTTACAGAGTACACAGCTGATGAGCAACCATCCCAAGTCAGATAGAAAACATGGTAAACCTCTCACCTGGCACGGGAGGCATTCCCTGCAGAAGGAGGTGGCGTAGGAGGATGAAGAGACTCTTGGCCAAGGATGGCAGACAGGTCTGCAGCTTGAACGGTCTGCCCTGATGACTTGTTTTGGGGCGCACGATGCTTCTACAGTGGTCCAGGAAGTGCAGGAGAAGAAATCCAAGGTGAAAGGCCAAGAACAAACAGAGAAACAAAAAAAAAAAAAAAGAATAAACTGCTTTTAAAAAAAAAAGTCTACCTTAAGACGTAGGCATTGAAACACAAGTCTTAAGAAGAAAATTTTGAATTTTGTTCTAAAGGAGTTACATAGATAGCAGCCAGCTTAAGACAGGTCTGGTTTTATTCCACAGGGCTCAGGGGATCCAACATATGAAATCTAGGCCACCTCTTGAGCCAAATGAAAACCTTGGTTCCGCGTTTACGGCAGCCACTGTCATTTTCCTCAAACAGCCAACACACAAGCCATGCCAGTCATCCCAAATAGCATCACGTAGAAAAGGACTTGGATGACATAGTAATTGGGCTAAAAGCCTAATTCGAATTGAGGATATATTAACCTATCCACATGTAACTTGAAAGACAATCATGACAGATATCACTATTAACACACTAGCCCAAAGGTAAGGGGGGAATCAAATGCAGAGGGAAATAAGGATGCATTTTGAGGAAAAATCTCATGTAGCTCAGGCTGATCCCAAACTTGCTATGTAGCTCAGGATGACCCAGAACTTCAGATCACAAGTGCTGGGAATACAGCCATGTGCCACCATGCCCAGTTTATGCAATGCGAGGGCATCCAACTTACAGCTTTGTGCATGGCAGACAGGCACCTTTGCCAACTGGGGTACTTGCCCAGCCCTAAATTTTAAATCGTTTCATTGTTGAACGGATACTGTCGTCACTTTCATTTTGCCCCAAGAGTCAAGCAAGGTTACCCACTATATGAGGAATTCGTGAATGGATAAATGAAAGAAGAAATGAATGAATCTTTGTGGATTTTGGTGCTCCTGAGATAATTTTGTGAATTAAAGATGTCTGCACAGACACAGAAGTAGACAGCTTGAATGGCTAGCAGACTTTTTAGCCTTAGCCATTAAAATCATATACTGAAGTGCTGGGGATAAACAATTAGCCAGATTAAACCAAAAATACCAGCCATGCTGGTGGGATAAAAAAAAAATCCCCTCAACTAAGTGAATGCTGAACTGGTTTTCAGTCAGATCGATGGAGCCGAGCTGCATGTGTTTAGGCTGATTTTAAATTTAGTCTGGATTTCCTACGCTCACGCCAGGTAACAGTAGGAAGGAGAAGGCCCAGAATTATATTGGGTGTCAGAAAGAAACTATTCTGGAACTATGAATATGATCTCCAATGTGGGTACTCTGTAAACAGGTGAAGAAGCCAAATTCTCCCCGGGTCCACGGCAGCTCATCTCGGGAGTCATAATTATTTTCAACCATACACACTCGCTATTTTTAAGAGCACAGCCCAGCTGGAAAGGGAAATAACTCCCATTTCTTTCCAGCACTTTGCAAAGTAATGAATAGTAGCCAAAGCTTTCTTCCTTCTAACGAATCCATTCACCACCAATTTATCTAAGCATCTATTAGGAGCCAGGGGCTGCTCTGCAAAAGGACTTTTTAACAGTCTTCAGTTTCCCAGTGTGCAGTCTGTATACGGAGAGAAAAGTTCAAGTGGGCTATAATGTCCTTACAGAAAGAAAATAAGACACCATCTTTCCATGGAGAAGGCTGCTGGGTTACAGGCGGTGACCAAGTTCAACAGGAGTTCACCAAATTCTATTTCATCTTAGCACAGCATTTATCTTAAGGGCAAGGGAAGTCTTGATTTTTATCTGGTACCATTTCAGAGGACGCTCAAAATACTTCATAATCACTTTCCCAGAAGCTGCAGGGACCGGGGACTTGGGCTTGCTTGTATGTGGATTTGTGTGCACACGGGGCCCTGTTTACACATCGCCCGGCAGATAAGACTTGCTAGAGTCCAAATTACATTCTGCTGAAGTGCACAGAACAGTCAAATGTGATGTAAATGCTGTCAAATATTAATTTACTCTAGCATCGGCATGCTTCCTTCTTTCGAAAAGCATTTGTCCGGCCACCCTTGCCAGAGTAAGAGAGAGTTATTTACTTGCGTATCCCATCACAGGAAAGAAACACAAGAATCAAGTCAAGGCCACGTGAACTCTCTGAAAGGACACACAATAAGCAAGACAGTAAATGATGGCACATTACAGACAATGACACACACTAAAATTGGAATCTTTAATATTTTAAGAGCACATATCAGAGAAACACAGTACTACAAATGGTGGAGGATTACCAAGCCAGACGGCCCAAATATCTAAACATGTGATGGTATGCAAACACCAGGAGGTAACACTGAGTCAGGACCAGGGCCAAGGGCACAAAAAGAGAAAGTTTGCCCTCCACTCCTTCTCTTTCTGCAAGAAGCACGCGTGCTTACAGGTCGGCAGCTGTAATCACTACTAAAAATACCTGATAAATACATTGTTCTAAATCTGTCCCCTTAAGGCACTTTGGTAGAAGCAGGATGAGTCTTTGTGATACCAAATGATGCCCTGCAGTCAGGGGAACACCTACCCTCTAAGCCCGACATCTTATTACACCATGAGTTTTCTAAAAAGGAATTTTCAAGTAGAATACATTTTTTTTGTTGTTTACAGGATGGCAATTATCATTGCATTTTCATTATCCCACAAATGGTGTGCATTAAGAGTTATAGGAAAATCAATGAAACACGTCTGCTAACATCAAACATGCCAAACAAAGGGGGCGCGTGAGTGGCCTTGTTTGTGTATAATAGCTCAAAACATGTTTTAGTTCATGCATGATAGTAGTAACAGGTAGCATAAGCATTTCTAGTCAATTATCCTAAAGGGTTCAGGTTTATAAGGATTATAAAATATGCCATTGCACTGATTAAAGTCAAAAACACTTAAATAAAATTGGGCAAGGAAAATAAAAACACCATTTCCACAAATAAAGATAAATTACCACACGGCATTCCTTTTCTTTCATTATTTTAAGTATTTATTTTTTTTAAAAAAAAAAAGCCTCAATCCAATTATAACTCTTTCAGCCAATAGTTTTTCAATTATGTAAAGCTAGCATCCTATATATGCATCATCATGGTACTGCTCACAGAAAATTGGAATGAGTAAATTTATTTTACTAAACCAAATTAAATGCAACTAAAATAGTATTACTGATGACTCAGATCTTCAAATCTTAAACAACCAGCAAAAGTAAAACTGTGTGTTAGCCCTTGGGCAGAAACTGTGGCCTCCACTGCTATTCCCACAATTTGTTGTTTTTAACAAACACTTAGCAAAATCAGAAGGGCTGCCTCTGTTCTCAGGTTGGAAGTATGGCCAACAGGATCAAAATCTGTTCTTTGAAGCAATTAAATTGTACAAACCTAACTCTCTCTAAACCAGACTTGCCTGCTACTCTGAAAATGCAGAGCCTGGATGTCAGGGACCCCCATCTCCCTAAAAAAATAGCGACAGACTGTCTCTGGAGAAGGCTCTTTTCAAATGCAAGGATTTAAGCTTTTCTGAGTCTAAATGATGTGTTGCCTTCAGACCACTAGAGTTCAAAGAAATCAACATTCGCTCCGACATTCAAGTGCTTACAGGAGCTTGGGCTTTTAGTAAAGTATATTTATTGACTGTCTCCTAATAGGAAGCACAGCGAACTGCTACAGCCTATTAGTCAGTAGAAGCTGCCAGGTCAAGGTATGTGCTGGAGCAAAATGCTCTTGACATTTCAGGATGGGTGAGAAAACAAGGTCACCTTATTCAAAAGGAATGTGAACCCTTGAACTCTCTAATGACACCGGGAGCCTAGGAGTGTTGACTAACGTTTTAGCAATCTCTTCACTCTGGAGGTTCCTGGGACTCAGGGCAGTGGAAACTTTTGACCATCTCCAGCTATTTGATATGTAATCTGATGGCTCAAGAGTTTTTCTTTAACCTCTCGCTCAAAGCCACCTGAGAGGCCTGAAGTCTCTCCATGCTATTTCTAAGAAAATACCACGGCTGGCCAAACCCTCTTCCGACGAAACCGGGCGGGGAGAGGGTGATGCCTTCTCCAGCTCTCAATTAAGTACAATAATACACTTCTCATATTTATTTTAGCAAGGGTTTATTTGTACACTGAAAAATACATGCGCACATTTAATTGCAAATCAAGCCCTTCTCTGTCTGTTGCAAAATCGAAGCAAGAACCTCCAAGGATTGTGTAAAACTTAAAATGTCTGTCTTTGGTTTTAGATCCTGTCTTCACATGAATTCACCTCTCAGAAATAATAGCTCATTTTAACCACAGTGATGCTTCACCGGACCAGGCCACAATAATGTAGCAACCACATAAACTCTGTAACCAGGGGAAACTCATAAACCCCCTGTGAGGAGAAGTGAGTAACTTTCCTAGTTTTGGCCCTGGAGAGGTGGGAGACTGTGTGTGAGTGTGAGTGTGTGTGTGTGTGTGTGTGTGTGTGTGTGTGTGCTGGGGGGATTCTCTCTGTGTGTTTTTCTTCCTTCTATTTTAACTGATTTGGCTACTTGGCCTTGAAACTATAAACTGACTGGCAGGGTCACAACTAAATTATGACACACTCAGAGTTACTAAAACATTCCCCTTCACCTGGGCTGTCTGAACAGTGCCAGGCTCCAGCAGCTAAAGCTACTTTTCTGTTGTCTTTTCTGTCATAATATAATTTTTCTGGCCTTAGCAGGCTTAAGGTGGTACCAGAATGCAAACGCTGGCCTGCAGCTCTCTAGATGGTCACTAAATTATACCCTAAAGTACCATATACACTGTTTACTGGGCAAAGCTCCATGTGTGATACGGGCTTGTAGCATCTCTCCCTCAGCTGCAAAAAAAATATCTTTTTACTGAAGATCATCCAAGATCAAGAGCAACAGATCCAAATTAAGAAAGATAGCATTCAGAATGCCTGCCTACTGTCAGCATCCCTTTTAATATTATGGTTTGTGAAGTTTTAAAATGCGGCAGTGGGGAGTATACTTTCCAAAGAAGCCATCTCCTCTCAGTGAACTACCTAGAAAGCCAGCCAGCACCGCCAGCAATTTCATTTCTCAAGCAAGGCTGTGCTCGCCTCTCACACTTGAAAGGGTTAAGTGCTGGCAAGGCCAAAGGCTCCAGACTGCAGAAGAAATGTCACTTCAGTCAGCTTTGAAAGGTTCCTAGCAAGTATCAAATACTTGTTGATCTGCTCACAATAAACACCAGCAGGATTGTCAGCTCCTTTTCACTGTCTGGGGAGGTGCATCTACACACTGCACCCAGTAGGAGCAGCATGTTGGTTTGCTTTAGAAAAGCCGAGTAGCTAGAATCTGCCTCATTCAGTGTCTCCGGTTCAGATGACTGAAAGGAGATGCAATTGAAATGGCGAAGCCTCTCCTCTCTGGTTCGGGCAGCTCAAATACTGGGCATAAAACACTTGGAGCAGTTCAGGCAAACCCACCTGAATGGACCAAGCAGCACTGTCTGTTGCCATGGCAGCCTGATCTAATTACATGAGTGATCAGGGGCAGAGTAAGTGCACAGAAAACTAACACCACCGACAGTATCTGTGTGATGCGAGAGGCAGACAGGCTTTTCAGCCTCGGCTTTATGTGGAAGGTGGCATTCAAGCCCATTTATTTGCAAAGCTGCTAAAATATTGACTGGTGCACGGCCAGTTAGAGGACAATCAGAGGAGATGAAATGCCACAGCTAAACTGCTCTGGTGCAATCCCTTTTCAAGAGTTTGTGCGCATGTTTTTCTTCTCTTTGGAGGCTACCTCTAGCTTCCGCTGGCATAAACTTCATTCAAAAATAAAATAAAAATAAACCCTGGGCTATCAAACTGTCTCAGCTACCCACCCATCATCAAGAAACCAGAGGGTGGGCTTAACTAGGGCTTCTAGGAACTGCAGGGCTCTTCAAAAAGCCAAACAGAAATAGCTTAGCGAACAATATTGAAAAAAGTAAGCAGCTGCGCTGAAAATAACCAGCATGTAACTACCTTGTTGTGTACAATCTAGAGCAATGATGTTTAAATATTAAGAAGAGCTTGCATTATAAAACAGAAATGTCATTGAGATGAGACTACTAGATTGCTACAGGAAAACACTGCACACACACACACACACACACACACACACACACACATTCCCCTGCATGCTGGGCAGGAGGTGAGGTGAGAACTCGACTCTAAGGCATTACTTTTTATTCTGTAGGTGGTGTGGGGTCTTCTAATTTTACCAATTGTAGTCTGTGGCTCTCTCTGAGAAGCTAAGAAACCTCTCCGGGGACAGAACCAGTTTGGAGGAGTTCCTACTGCACAGCATACGGTAAACAAAAATAGCTTGCCTTTCTTGTTAGCCACACAGCGCATTATATAACCAGCTTCCGACTGGCTTTTTTTTTCCACCCTTACTACTCTTCAGCAATTTCCCAACCTTCCCAAGTATTTATATTACCCTCTTATCTGTAGGATTATACGGAAAGAAAGCAAAACAAACCAGGACAGCCACGGGATCGAACTGAACTCCGCCGTCTTAAAACCCTATTTTTTTTTTTCTGGCGGAGTCTAGATCACCATTCTACTTCCACCCCCCACCCCTCCAACTAAGGTCTTTGCTCAATCTCCCTAGAAAACCTGAATTGTTTCACCCCTTCCAGTCAGCTCTCTGCGTGGTCTGAAATAAAATGAAAGCGCACAAGCCACAGAGTTGAAGGAGGTGGCTAAGGAGAGGTCAAAGCGATGTAGAGTCCGTCAAGGGACCACCGCGGGGACCCCGTCACCATCGCGATGGCCCTGGCCCCCGCCCGACGCGCGAACACACACACACACACACACACACACACACACACACACGCAAGCACCTACACATTCATTTGCACTCACTCCCTCCTCTTCGACCCCGCCTCACCTCTCGCTCCGCCCGTCCGGCCCCTTCCCTGCCCCCTGCGGGACCGGCCTGTGCGCTCCGCTGTAACCACGTAGGAGGCAGCGGCGGCGGCAGCCCCAGCAGTGGCGGCGTCTCGGGCCCCGAGTGAACGAGCCGCGGGGCTCCGGGGCGCATCCCAATCCCCGCAGCGCCTCCTCCGCCGCCGCCTCCTCCTTCCCCTCCTCCCATCTTCATTCACCCTCCCTGCGGCCGCGCAGCCGAGCAGTCCCGGCGCAGGGCAGAGCCCGCAGCTCCTCCGCTGCTGCCTCGGGCGCCGGCAGGGACGCCGGGCCGGGCTGGGGCGCTCGCGGGCTCCCGGCTCGGGCAGCAGCGGCGGTGGCGGCTGCTCTGGATCAGGAAGCGACCGCACCAACAGGGCGGCGGTGGCGGCTGCAGCCAGGGCCCTTCCCCGCCGCCACTCCCGCTGCGCTCCGAAAGCCTGCGCGCCCCTGCCCCCTGCGCCGCCACCTCTCTGCTCCCCTAGGCCGTGCGCAAAGTCCCCGGCCCCGAGAGGCTGGCCTAGGCGGGGAGACCCCCGTCTTGGAGTGGCCTCTCTCAAGCTAGGCGACCCCTAGGCGGGGAAGCCTAGCCCTCCCTCGAGCCCCAGCGGCGCTCACCACCCCCTGCCGGGAGGGAGAATTTGCGAGAGCGAAGAGGGCAACGCGACCCTCAACCGCTGCCGCCTCCCTCTGCGCCACCAGGAGGGAGGAGGACAGGGCTCTCTACGCTCGCCGCCGCCGGGCCAGCAGCAGCCTGAGCGGGGCGCCGCGGCTCTCCCCACCCGCGCCCCTCGCCCTGGCGCGCCCCCTCTCCTTGGGGCCGCCCACCCGGCCCCTGGCTTCTCCCCTTGCCCGCCGCTCCTGCGCCCACAGTGGGGTCCCCAGCCGGAAGGCTGGAACCCGGCACGGGTGTATGTACACACAAACACACTCACACACGCGCGCGCACGTTCACATACACACACACACACACACACACACACACACACACACACCAGGACGCGTCGGTTCCCTTCGCTCCTCTTCCAGCTGTTTTCCTTGCAGCCCATTGAGACTGGGGGAGGGGGTGTATGCTGGATGTTCTTTGGCCCCTCTCTGGAGAGAGCGGATTGGGGTGAGGGAGGGGGTGATTTTAATCTAAATCGGGGGGGGAGGAGGATGGGGGAGGGGGGGAGAGAAAGAATCAGAGGAGGAAAAAAAATAGCCACTTACTGTAAAGTGTAAATGGATCTGGGGTTGCGTGGGGAAGGGGGGACAGAGGGAGAGACACAGTGTCCTGCGGCTGCTGTAGCTCTAGCTGCGGCTCCACAGGGCTTGTTTTGGATCCCCCTGCAGTGAAACAGGTCCTGTACGGCTCCGCCACTGTAGTAGAAATGATGTCTGCGGTATACTCTGCTTTCTCCTCCTCCTCCCCCTCCCCTCCCTCCTCCCTCCGCCCGCCCTCCCTCCCTCGCGCTCTCTCTCGCGCTCGCTCGCTCGCTCCAGTATGTAAATGTGTAATAGAAGCCAAATATGGAGCAGTTGGCTGCCGCCGCCACAGCTCAAGGATCCGACTTCATGGGGAGGGGGGGGGCACCCTCTGGCAGGCGGCCCGGCGAGCCGCACAGAGCACGGCGAGCGCACGGCGCGGCTGCCGGCCCGCGCCCTTAACCCTTGTATGCACCCGGCCGGAGCAGCGGTCCCTCCAGCGGAGGCCCGGTGCCTCTTCCTAACTGCGGCTCCTGATCCCGGACGTCGGCCTGAGGGGACTGTGCCTTCCAGGTTTGAGAAAGGGGCGGGGAAGTTGGGGCGATGAGGTCATTGGAGTGGTGACCGATCGGTGCTCTCGCGCCTCCTCGGCTCCTTGCAACCTAGTTGGAGGGGCCAAGGCGAGTGCAGTGTGCAACTCCGGTAACCTGGAGTACTCACCGCAACGGGTGTCAGGCTTCGGCTCCCACCTGGTAAAATAACCAAAGATGCGGGGAACTCGGCTGATTCTAATCCTGAAGTGACCTTGGTGCCCCCAACCCCCAACCTCGGTGCGCGTCTAAGAGGACTCACAGTATCCACGCTGTTAACCCTCCTGCCCGTGAGCCCTGAGCAACCCGACTCCGGGCCCGCGCCTTGGCTTGCAACTCGGGAAAGTTCTCAGGCTTCCTCAGTTTGCACTGGCGCCTTCACCTTTCCTGCCCGGACAAGCTGGCGACCTCCCGGCCTCTTTTCTAATTCTGCAGGTCTAGAAATCTGCAGCAGGAATGGGGACGTCTCGGGTCTATCCCTGGTAGCCGACCTGCTCACTCCTCTCGCAGCTAACGGGGGATCATTCATTTCATCGGAAGTGAGGTAACTGGTGCATCGAGCTTTCTATGGCCATTCTCGGGAGTCCACGGCGAAGGAACTTCCCCTGGTCCCGCTGGCTAAACGCAGACATGGAGTCCTCACCCCCCTCCCCACTCCGCTACACCGCTGCCAGGTGTGAGCTCGGTGGGAAGGAATCTTCCCCGAGGAGTGCACCTTGCCAACAGGTGTGGCACCCAGTGGAAGAGCGGGCACAACCCTACAAGGGTCGCTCAGTGCCGTGTTCTCTTTGCTGCAGATAATTCTAGAAGACCAGTAGGTGTCAGGCCAGCATCTGACCTCTTTCAGGTGCTTAGAACTCAGAGTCTAGAAACTCGATCCCTTGGTCTTGTAGGAAGCCTCTATTATTGACTAAGAGCGGGATTTGAGAGACCTTTTGGCTCCGTTTACTTAGGACCTAACAGTCAGTGTCTGAAGCAGCGTACACAATCACCAAGAGAAACCTGTGAGCTTTCTAAACTACTGTATTGTGGAGTCAGCACTTCAGATTAAAATTTTTAAAAAGTCATGGGGGGGGGCTACATATCTATTCTCAGGTTTGAAATACCGTGCACACGTCCGCAGCTACTTAAATAGAACTACGACTGTTCCCTCCCACCCCGCTCCGTAACTTGTGTTGCTGCTCACTTAAAGATTGTTAGACTTCATACGCTAAAGTGACATCGTCGGTCTCATTACAGCCTCTAGTGGACGGTTAACAGGAGTTGCCTGTCAAGGCTCTGACTAGTTTTGTTTTCCCTCCTGAGCTTTTTCCAGGTGAAGGTTAATAGTTCAGAGCTTAATCGGGTGCTTTCTTTCGGTGCTCTTGGGAAAGCTGTCTTTGAACAGGATCGGAAGCTTGCCGGCTTCGTGTGGAACGGGCGGAAGCTTTGCACTACAGGTATTGTTGCTGCTGGCCCGTGAATCGACAAAGCTTCTGCTCTTCGCTTCAGTTGCAGACAGCTTTCATAAAAAAAAAAAAAAAAAAAAGAAATCCATCTAAAATATTTTTATAACAGAAAATATTGGTTGCCATGTTTCTGGCGTAACTGAGATGTTTTCATTCCAGCTCATAATCTGCAAACTGTCCAATCCACCTCCACTCTATTTTTAGACATCTTACATTTAGAGAATTTTCAAGGGAAAAACTAATATTGTAATTATTACGTTGGTGCAAGCAGTTAATTTGCATTATTTTAACAACCTTAAACATATTAAAACACATAATTCATATTAGACTTAGTCAATTAATTTAAATGTTCCCCGAAGAAAGCTAAATATGTGCATTACCCACACAGTAAAAATAATTAATAAGAAATGTGCTGTTTACTCTCCTAGCCGTCACGATTAAAGCCATAAACTGTAACACGTCACACTGTCTCCTCCTTTCCTCTCTCTCTCTCTCTCTCTGTCTCTCTCTCTGTCTCTCTCTCTCTCTCTCTCTCTCTCTCTCTCTCTCTCTCACACACACACACACACACACACCCTCCAGCTATTGCTTGCTGCGAGGTCCAACACAAACATAATACCCACGATGCAGCTTCATAACTTGAGTGCTGATACATTTTCTTTCCAGATGACAGAGCATCAAATGCACCCTCAGAAGTAACAGGACAGGTTCTTTAAAAGCAAAAGATCTCAGGCAAATGAAAACTCGGTGGTAACAGAGCAGTTTCCAAGGCGGCAGACTACGGCTGTATAGCACCGTTCCCCTGAACCCAAATCTGATATTATATTTATACAAGACTCAGTCAAGCTTTGAAATGGAGTCAAATTGAGGAGGAAGGCCCGCTGAGCCTTACTCCTAATCTGTGTTATGAATGATTTAAACAACGTGAAAAGCTATGTTAGTACCCTTTATTTGTTTTTCTAAAGATTTTTTCAGTGTGTGTATGTGCGTGTGCGTGCATGCATGCGTGTGTCCTGAAACTTTCCAAGTACTCCTTTGAGACAGGGTCTTTACCTGAATCTGACGATCATCTCTTCTCAACTAGGCTAGAAGCCAGCAAACCTAGCCCTTGCCTCTTGCCTCTTCCCTCTCCACGCTGAGGTAAAGGCCTGTGGAATGCCAGACTCCTTTGAAGAGTGCTGGGGTCCACACTCAGGGCCACCCAGTCCTGCAGCAAGTGCTCTCAAGACCCAGGTCGTGTCTCCAGCCCACCTTGTATAGATTTTAATGTTTTTGTACCATCTACTTTTGAAAGTTTAAAATGGACTGGCTACTGTATATTAAGTCACAAGACTTTTGTATATTACATTTCTGCGTTTAAAATTGGAGTCCAAAATGTCACGGCTCCTACCATAGCACCACCGTCTGGAGGAGTTTAGACTTCAGAATCAAGGCTCCTACCCCACGATGTGCAGTCAGAGTCTGCCTTTGGACTAGCTGCCTGCCGAAGACTGGGCACATCCCAGCCTGAAGAACACTGATCTTCATGGGCTCTGTCTGGGCACATTTGGCCATGATTCAGAACTTAATTCACCAATGAATTACCTTTATGTTAATTATTTTACCCATGGGGGAAAAATAACACATTGCTCCTGGACCTCTGCATCCCCAAACTTAACCAGTTTATAGTAGAAAACAAAATATTTTTAAAAGCCACCTGGACTGAATACCTGTAGACTTACCCCTCATCATGCTCCACACAGAATACAGAATAACAAGTCTTTCCACCACACCAGGGTTCTATCAGTAATCTAGAGATTCCTTAGAACTTAAAGTTATACTGTAAATTTAAATTACTGATTATGTTAAAGCATTAAGAGGATGTTCATACACGGTATGTAAACATTATATAATACACTTGTACGATCTAAGATTTGGGTATTTAAGAGGAACCCTAAAGCTAGCCTTCCCGTTTGAGGGGTGACTATATATGTGGGAAGGAAATGGCACTCCTCCAAGAGCCCCAGTTCATCAGTGAAAGAAACTGGCTTGCAATGAGTGTGCTGGGGTCTTCACTAGGGAAGTGTTCTCTGAGGCAGTAGAGGGAGCACAAGAGTGCTTAGGACAGCCACTGTACACAGGGCGCTCCAAAGCATGACAGATTTTTAAACTGTAGTATATGTTTGCATTGGAAGTAGCCTGTTACGCCATTCCAAACAAAACAAAACGAAAAAGCTAACAAACACACACTGCCTACCCGATTACAGCAACTAAATAATTGAACAGATTGCAAATTACATAAAATAAAAGATACAAGATATACTCGTTTCAAGTTCTAGGCTTGCATTCTTCCAGTGGACTTCAAGAATCCTGCTTAGGAAAGGTACCTTATTGCCAAGAATGCACAAAGCCCCGGTTTGATGCCCAGCACCACAATGGGTGTGGCTGGCACACACCTGTACTTTCCGCAGGAGACTGGGAAATTCCAAATCATTGTCCCTCAACTGCAGAGCAAGTTCAAGGACAGTCTAGGATAGGTGGGCTGTCGTCTTAGGGGGAAAAAAGGCAAAAAGCCTTCCTGGTGGCATACCTCAAAGGTTAAAAGAACTTACCACCAAGCCCGAGGACCCAGGTTCAGTCCCTGAATCCACACGGTGGAAGGACAGACCAAGTCCTGCAAGTTTTCCTCTGACTTCCACGGCAGCACTTCGGTGTGAGTGACCCCCCCACACACATACACCCTCACAGTAAGTAAATGCACATGATAAAATTTAGTTAATAAAAGCAAAAGGTTCATTGGTTTTCTCTAGTCAAAAATAATGTTAATTTTTCAGAATAGACAACCCTGAGAGAAACTAAGATGCGTAACTAAGGAGGGAGTTAGTTCATCAATATTATACTCAAATCGATTTTGAGTTAAACGCATTGGCTAAAAAGTAGATGATTTTTGTAACACTTTCAAAAATGTCTCATTTTTGGACTGTTTCGGCTGCTTGCCATGATGACTATCAATTTGATTATATTTATATAGTTTTCCATGCTGTTCACATTTCTCCTACATCATACCCTTAAACACGTCCCTCAGGTGGGTAGGGCACATAAGAAAAGCCAAGATTGAATCAGGAAGCTACACAGTGAGATCTAGTTGACATTTAGTAAGTATCTATTTATTTATTGTAGGTGGATTTCATGATGTAGCTCAGGCTGGCCTAGAACTTCCAGTCCTCCTATCAGAACCACAGGAGGGCTGGGATGACAGCCTAGAACGTTCTCCAGCTGATAAGCGTGCATTGAGTAAGAGGATGAAGAATAGAGCACCAGGCCTGGAGCCTCGGACCTAGGGTCCAGCATTCGGGAAGTGGAGACAGAGAAAACTAGAGACCAAAGCCAACCTCGGCTACAGGATGAGTTGCATGGGACCTTATCATTAGAACCTGTGTCTGAATTCTCGAGCTGTTCTTTCTGTCCTTGTTCCTCAGCCACTACTTGTTTTGCATCTAGAACACAGTACATCAGGCCCCCCAAGAACACACACTGAGGAAAATGGACTAGACAACAAAGCGTTTACCAACCTTACCTTTCTAAGAATGTGTATCTTCAGCAGGGTGAGGAGGCTCACTGCTGGCCGGCCAGTGCCTCTCAGAAACACACAGGCAGCCCTGGAAGCACTGAGAATCCAAGACGGCACTCGCTGAAATGTTGGGGTGGGGGTAGGAGAACAGTTGTATAACTCTTGAGCAAGGTTAGGCTTACAAGCTCCTATTATTAGCCTTTCAACTTTGTAAACCAGACCGAATGTGAAGACGAAATAGGTCTTATCTAAGTGCACCTCCTATCAAAGATCATCGAAGTTGAAGTAGTAAACATTTATTTATTCTTATCTCTTTAGAATTGTTAAACGTCTTTCCTCCCATAGTAGAGAAATACTTGCCAAGTTTCTGCCTGGAACAATTTGTTATGGCTATGCAATAATCCTGGAAACTGAATTTTTAATGGAAATACTGAGGCCAGCTCTTTAACCATGCTCTTGCAAACAGGGGTTTATCCTATATGTCATCTTAAAAACAGAGCAAGCTGCGGTAGTTACAAAACAAATACACTTTGCTTAGATTGTACTCCTAAAGAAGCCTGTGGGGAAATAAACCAGAATAATGAAGCAAACTAGAAACAAAAGTGAAAGCTGCCCATTCAATGGACTCTGGGTTCTGTGGGCCACACCCTAGCTGAAGTGCGGAGGCTCTGCTTACAGACCTGAGTCCTGAGGCTGTGTGTAGCCTACAGACTTATAGACCTGAGTCCTGAGGCTGTGTGCAGCCTACAGACTTACAGACCTGAGTCCCGAGCCTGTGTACAGCCTACAGACTTACAGACCTGAGTCCCGAGGCTGTGTGCAGCCTACAGACTTACAGACCTGAGTCCCGAGGCTGTGTGCAGCCTACAGACTTACAGACCTGAGTCCTGAGGCTGGGTACAGCCTACAGACTCTTACAGACCTGAGTCCCCAGCCTGGGTACAGCCTACAGACTCTTACAGGCCTGCTTCAGAACCACGTCTTTGATCTCTTATAAACTACAGCAGCGCAGGCTTCTTGATCATGAAATGACATCACTAATATTCAAGAGTGGAATGAGGACTTGGAGTATATCAGCAAGACCCTGGGTTCTATTCCCCAGAGCCACAGAAAAAGGGTTGGCTAAAAGCCCTTGCACTATAGTATCTGCTGCCAGTTTATGATTCAAGAGTACACATATCTAAACTAAACAAAATAGCAATTTTAAAAACAACCTCACAAATATTTTAATATAGAGCCTCGCTCTCCAGTACAGTCTTTGAGCTCTTGAAACTTGGCTAGTTTAAATTGAAATGTACTATAAGCATGAAATATGCTTCAAAATGTAAAGACTTACTTAGATATCTGTGTATATGAAGGATACAAATATGTATATACATATACTCAGTACCTCAATTTTTTTTTTTTTTTGGTTTTTCGAGACAGGGTTTCTCTGTAGTTTTTGAGCCTGTCCTGGAACTAGCTCTTGTAGACCAGGCTGGCCTCGAACTCACAGAGATCCTCCTGCCTCTGCCTCCCGAGTGCTGGGATTAAAGGCGTGTGCCACCACCACCCGGCTCCTCAATAATTTCTTATTGATTAAATGTTGAACTAAAAATATGTACATTCACCATTCACTGGGATAAATGAAACATATTGGTAACACATATAAAAGCATAAATATATACATATATGAAATAAATATATACACGCGCTTGTATGCAGAGATGTATACACATGAATATACAAGCGATTATATACACTACACATTTATATTTATATTTAAGTATATATCTTTTTCTTTGTTTGCTTACTGGGTAAAGTGATTGAGCCCAGAGCTTCATCATGTCAGGCAAGTCCTCAACTCCTTCAGCCCCATAATTCAACATTTTCCACAGTCAGCTATCAAGCAATCAAGTGATGAGATTGGCAAAACAGGATTAGCCTCAAAGAGCTGGACACCTCTGGATCCTGGATGGCTTCTTGCAAGCATGCAACAGATATTAGCTGATGCTTGCCCTTCTTCATCTGAATATCCTCTTTCTCCATGTGACACGGACTGTCCTCTGAGAGTCATCTGTCTGAACGCATTGTCCCATTGGTAGATACGCTGCAGGCCTGTGAAGCAAAAGCTATTAGGCTCATCTGTGACGGAGTCTTCCTGGAGGGTGCTCAGACTCTCGTCACTTGAATTGCTGACAAGCCGACACGTGTGCTAGAAAGCAGTAATGTTCTAGCATTGTAGCTGGTTTGGGAGGTTTCTGTTTGTGGCTAAATAGATGGCTTTGGGTATTAATAATGGAAAGTATATTTTGGGGGGCTTGGGATATGACTTAGTCAGTGCATCCTTGCTTCAAAGTGTGAGAACTGGAGTTGTGATCCTCCTCAGCACCCAGGTAACAAGTTGGGTGTGCTGGCACACCAGTAAACCCAGCGCTGGGGAAGTGGAGACAGGAGGATCCCTGGGATTAGCTGGCTAGCCAGTCTAGCTGGAAACATGAACTCCAGGTTCAGTTAAAAGCCCCTGTCTCAAAAATAAGGCTCAGAAGGACGGAATTTCTGGTACCTACCTAGTGGAAAGGAAGAACCACTAGCTGATTTCTTTGCCCACGTATGCACTTACAGTGCTACACTGAAACACATACACACATACACACACACACATACACACACACACACACACCAATAAAAAATGTAGTATGATGAAGGAAGGGAAAGAAAACACTGGACACTGATCTGGCATACAGACATACAGAGAGACATACTCACTCATACATACACATACATGCACACGCTTATGCACATGTGTGTGCACGCACACACACACACGGAAAGATACATAATATAATAAATAATGTTTAAAAATTAAGATGTCGAGTGACTATGGAAAATACCAAACCTTGACCTCTGACCTACACAAATGCACAGGTACGCATACACACATTCATACCCACACATGAAAATTATACATTTTGCTGTTTAACAAGAAAACATACCAAGGCTATTGAAAAGAAATCTGTATTTTAGTGTATAATAAATTCATCCCAATGGGATACTTCTAAGGGAAATGAGACACTTTTTGAAGAATTTTAACCATTATTAATTTGTCAGCAAGCCAGAGATCACTTGTCCTCGAGGCCACCCTGACCAAGGTTGAGTTTGAGGAAATGGGCCTGTTAAATATCATAGTTTGTTACTCCAATCATCTAATAAGCACAACTCTTTTTAAATGAGAAGAAGACAGGCAACATTTTAAGGCTGAGAGTATGTGAGTTAAACCTTGCTTGGTATTGGCTGGAAACTTTTGGGACTCTATTTTTAGTGTTTCATTAACAACTTGGCATTTTTTTTCCTCAAAAGAAATCCATTTTCTAAATTAAAATCCAAGCCAGAGGCACCGTCGTGTGAACGTAAGACAGTGGCACTTGATGGGTTGTACTTGTCAGACACAGGGTGCTTCCAGAGGGAGGCGTGGACCATAGCAGGCTGCAGAGATAAACATGGGATCCTTACGGGAGGTCCGGGAGACTTCTCTGTCCTTCTGGCTTTGTGACATGAGGAAACATGACTGCAAGCTCTCTCTTAGCTACTTTATTTTTCTTGAATAAATATTGGCCAGGACAAGCTGGTCTGAATAAGGGTCATAGTTTAAGAACATCCTTTTGTGAGGAATTTACCCAGCTTGCCCCCAAAGAGGAAGCAGCGCAGAAAAAAAAAATGCATTGGCAAGATTTCCTTTTTTTTTTTTTTAACATAAATAACTCGAGTTCATAGAAGAAACTGTCCAGTCAGGGTTTCAGAGGGGATTGGCGGGTGGTTTGAAGCCTCCACAAAGACCTGGAAGTGGGGCTGGGAGCTGGGGCAGGGAGTCCGGCGGTATCTAAGAGCCTCCTACTGGAGGTTCTCGTTTTGCTTTGCCCCTCCTGCCACAGATGCCTTCTGCCAGGGCGGGGATACTAGCACCCGACTAAAACTGTAAATTACAAACACTCTCCTTAACTACAGAATGAACATGCAGAATAGAAGACCCTGTCAGCCCGAGTGCCAGCCAATCAAAGAGAAGAAGACAAATTACTCACTCATCCCCCTGCAGCCAAAATCTCATTCTGCCAGCTACATGGCTGGGGGAGATCTTTGCTTTTTTTTTTTTTTTTTTTTTTTTTTTTTTTGTCAGATATGAAGAGAAATTAATACTTTGCAATTGCAATAAATACACAGGCATGGAACCCATTCTACTGCAATAGGCAACCTAGTTGTGAGATCTGCTTCTCATTCCGACCCCCTCTGCTTTAATGCTGGTGCTTAAATAGCAATAGTAAGAACATAGGATCCCAACACTCTCAGGACTAGCTTTTCCTGCAGTCAATTTTATAATTGCATGGCTCCACCCCCTCCTGCTCAGTACTTCCTTTCCCTCAATACCCTTTCTCCCCCACCCAACCATGAATCATCTTGCCTTTAAAGAGACTGCTATGACCCGGTGTGAACTTTGCTGGCATCCTGTATATCCCTGTGCCAAAAAACAGGGCAGTAGTTCTGGAACAGAAACCGGGTCAGACCCTGATTCAGGCTCTGGGGCGACAAGCTGGGGGTACTTCTTTGGGAAGAAGAATGGGGAGTTACTTTTCCTAGATCCTGGAGAGGATTCTGAATCTTGTATCTTGGTTCACAATCGGGTTCGTAAGAATCCAGTTTGGCCCTTTGTGAAGAATGAAATATATCAGAGGGGGGAAAAATGTTGGCTGATCTTTTTCTGCAGTCAGGGCAGAAGAATTTCTACCACATTCGGCTCTTTGATTTCTCCAGATCTTGCTGAGAGTGGGGTTTCCATATTTGTGCTTTGGCAAATGTGTCCGATAGCTGATTCCTCCTGATATGAGTTCCTAGTGTTATCATTTTCTTATGTGCGCATTCATTGAAACCAGAAACAGGTTTGACCTTCCTCCCTTCCCCCTGCAATAATGGAAGTGGAAGAAACCCAGGGCCCCATGATCTCTAGGCAGGTTAGGCAGGTGCTCAACCACTGGGCTACACCTCCAGGCTTGCCTCCTCCTCCTCCTCTTCTTCTTCTTCTTCTTCTTCTTCTTCTTCTTCTTCTTCTTCTTCTTCTTCTTATTCTTATTCTTATTCTTATTCTTATTCCTCCTCCTCCTCCTTTTCTTTCTCTTCTTCCTCTTCTTCTTCTTAATATTTGAATTTAATATTTGAATTTAATATTTTTAATATTTGAAAACAGCACATAAAATTGACAGTACAGGCCTTGAGATGTGACACCCTCCTAAAGGAGGTGTAAAGTGTGTCAGCAAATTAACTTCATACCTTGGCGAACACTTTTCTCTTTGTACATAAAGCCCCTGCCTACCTACTTTTCTTCCCCCTGCCCCCCTACCCTCAGCCCCACCTTCTGAGCCTAGAGACCTACTCCTCATCTTTCAAGATTTGGCTTAAGCATCAGCACATCAGCGAAGTCCTCCTTGATAATCACAAGAGTCTGTGGCTCTGCCCAGTGTGTGAGTCAGAGCAGTGCTATTTTCTAATTCTTTTTATTTATACAATATTTTTAAGCCAGTAACAGAAGATAAAAAAAAAAGAACTTTCAGGGCCACGAGCACAGATGGAGAGAGTATCCTGTTTGAGGAGGAGAGCCGCTCTTATCTGAAGGCTTCCTGTGGCACCCAAACACGTGTGGCCTTCGCTAGTTTCAGCTGTGAGCAAGTCTCCTTTCTTCAGTACTCTGGCTAAGGGACTCTGTCTCGCCAGGCACACCACCCCCGGCATTCCCCACCGCACTCTGTTGAGAGTCAAATTCAGTCCACTCAAAAGTACATTGAAATCCTAATCCCAGCAGCTATGTGACCAGATTTGGGAGTAGGATTTGCAGATTTGCTTAGTTAGGAGGTCTTCCTGGATGAGAGTGGACCCTAAATCCAGCAAGAATGTCACTTTCATAAGAACATGAAACATCAACTCAGAGGTAGCCCAGGACCCTGAGAAGATGGCGACAGAGAAGGAAAAGACACCACTACATGCCAAGAGTGTCGAGCCTTTCCAGCAAACATCAGGAGCTACAGGCAGAAGCAAGCATTCTTCCTCACAGCCTTCCCACTGAGGCTGACCCCAAGATGCTGATTCCAGACTTCTGACCTGCATAGCTAGGAGACCAAAGGTTTCTCATGCTTCAAGCAAACCTGTCTGGTCACTTGTTCCAATGGGCCTAGATAGAAAATCTATCCTTCTTCTGGACCTGAGATTCAAAGACTGTTGTTTTTTTTTTTTCTGGTTATTTACATATATATCCCCATCTCTTTTCTCTTTAGATATTTATTGATAAAACCTGTTTTGAGCATATATTTGATCTGGCATCCATGACAACATCAGAAAACAAAAAAGATGACATGGAACGGAAGAGTTACCCAGAGTCACGACCCTAGCCTCATCTTTCCAGAAGAGACGATTGTTGACACTGACCTGAGGCACAGGCTACCTGGTCTGCATGGACTGTTGAGCCCTTAGAGAACCAGGCCTAAGGCCAGGTCTAAGAACAAGGGCTTCCCCAGGGCTTCTCAGCTCCCTCTGTTGGGCACCAACGCACACAGCAGCTGTCCCCCCCTACAAGTGTCGTGGTAGCTGAAGATGCAGAGTAGCCAAACAATAAACTAATCAGACAGGTAACCAATCAACCTGAGGCAAGAAACAAACAAACAAATCTGCTCTTGATAGTGGATATCTATACCATCAGAGCGGAGAAATTTATACCACATCCCGACCTTGGATTTCTCTGGATTTGGGCAAGTGTTGAAGGTTTTTTGTCTTTCTTCCTAGGTTCTAGAGATTGAACCTAGGGCTTCATACATAAAAAAAAGGCAAGCGCTCTACTACTGAGCCGTATCTCCAGCATCGATTCCCATCTCTCAAGGAGCAGCTGCGTATGCCCTATCTCACCACCAAGCAGGAGATCTTACCGTCAGGCCCCTGATCCTGAGGAAGCTACTGTGTTGGAATAACTGTGACATGTTTGCCAACCTTCTCACATCTCGGGAAATGGCATCTATACCATCTATATTCAGTCTTCAGCCCCAAGGCCGTTGGCATTATCTATCTGCTCTCTCATTGGTACCTCACATCCAAGCTCTCCATTGGATGGAGCTGGCTGGACCTTCAAAATATGTCCAGACACTAGTCATTTCTCTCCACTGAGATTGCCACCATCAGAGCTAACCCACCATCAGGAATGTTGCAATAGCCGCCTCCAGTCTCTTTGATGTCTCTGCAACTTGGTTCATTCTTGGACTACATCTTGGTCTTCATCTTGGTCCACTGTGTGGAGCTGGTGAATCTGTGCTGCCTTTATAGGTGCTTCTTTATACTCAGAGGCAGGCCACAGCACTCCCATGTCTGCCAGACTCTCCATGATCTCAGCTCCTCTGATCTTCTCAGCCACCATCATTGCCCCAACACCTTTAGCCCTACGGCTCTATGATGAAGCCAGGCATACTCTGCCATGGGCCCAGGCTCTCTGCTCTGTTCCCGGTTCTGGAATGATTTGCCCTTAGACAGTCAAAGCTGCCATGGCTCCAAGTCTGCAGTCCCTTTTTGTCCCTGAGGAGCCACCATCAGTGTGGCGTGTTTAGACCACCACACACTAGTTGTAGCCTTTCCGCTTCCTTGAGTGCTTAGTACGTGAATGTGTTATCCAATGATACCAAATAAATATTTGCTACTTGTTTTTTTTTTTTTTTTTTTTTTTTTTTTTGTCAGGAAGGGATGGATTTCTGTCAGTATCACCTGGGATTGTTCTTGGCTAATGATAGATAGCCAATAAATATTCACTGATTCTTCAATGAATTCATGAATCAATAAGTAATATTTTCCAGAACCTACTATGGGCAGTCACCAGCCAATACCAAGGAATGAGTGCATCATTAGAAGCGGATCCAGGATTAGATCTGTAGCTCAGTGGTAGAGCTCTTGCCTGGCGTGTGAGATCCTGGACTTGATATCCAGTTCCACCCAAACAACAAAAACTAAACCAAAACAAACCTACTCTGCCCAGGCTGTTCGCTGACTCTTTGACTTGGTTCTATCAAGTAACATGGTGAGATGGAACCTAGGCTCAGAAACCAGTTTATAAAGACATTTTAGAAGAATCAAAATTCAAAGCCAGGATCTGGGCAGGGATTTAGTCTTTAATTTGGCATTGAAAAATCTGTCTTCTATTCCTGAACACCCAGGAAGCTAGGCATAAGGGTTACAATCGCCTGTAATGCCAACACTCAGAAAATGGAGGCGAGAGAATGAGGAATTCAAAGTCATTCTCGGCTACAAAGTAAGTCTGGGGCCATACCTGGATACATGAGACCTGTCTCAAAACAAAGCAAAGCAAAAGTCCAAGACAATATATAATTATAACTGTAAAAGTTTCTATTGATCAAGTTCTTGTGTGGTGACAGACTCCCTGCTGGGGGCTTTGCGGGTACCATTTCATTTAATCTCTCACAACCCAGTGAGGTGGAGGTCATAATCCTCATTTCCTAGAGTTTAAAAGATTGCTCAAGGCTCAATGTTTTTAGGGTAAAGTAGGTACCGTAAAAGCTTGAGAGTTTTAAATGCGCCATTACCTGAATGAACTAGGACTCTGGAAATGACAAAAATACTTCATTGCCATGTTTTGGCCAAGGGATCCTTCCCATGCCCTGTTGGGGCTTGAATGTCACGTGTCCCACCTGTGGGCTCATTTGTTTGAACACTCAGTCGCCAGCTAATGACACTGTTGGGAAGGTTGTGGAACCTTCAGGAGATGTGACTTCCCCAGACGAAGTGGGTTGCTGAGGGTGGCTGGGTCTTGAAATTTTCATAGCTCAACCCAGTTCAAGTCTGCTCTTGACTTCCGGATCCACCAAGCTGTGAGGCAGAAGTACCTGCCTCCACTTTAGTCGGACCTCCCTAGGTGCCACGCCTTCCACGCCGTGACCGCCTGCGCCCTCTGCACCCAGGGGCAAGGAGAGTCTTTCCTCAGTGAACTGGTTTCTGCCAGATACTTTGTCACAACCAGGAGGAAAGCACCTAATACAATGTTTCCTTTGTCTTTGAAATCAAGACTCAGACTGTAGCCTAAACTAACTTTGAACTCGAGGTGATTCCCCGGCCTGCATCACCTGCTGGGATTACAGGTGGGAATTACCATCACAATGAGTTGGGCTTATTTTAAGTGATTGACACGTGCATTTCAGAAAGGAAAACTAGAGGCTCTCGTTGAGGAGGGAAATATTTGTCCAGATCAACCTGCATCACATCCCAACTAACAAAACTAAATAACAGCTTTTGATTTTTGCCTGTGGGTAGAAATGGCTTGCACCTGAAGTTCCTGCTTCCCTCTGGAGGATTCTCTCCCAGTCTAAATGGTGTGTTTTATCAGACCTGTCCTCTGCGATGAGGACTGAGTATATCGTAGTGGGGCCAGTGTGAGTTTCCAAGCCTCATTTCGATGTACATACAGTTCCATTTAAGTTGACTTTGTTCCACCCTAAGCTTTACAGAGTCCTCAGGAACCGGAACTAAGCAGAGGGTCTTGAAATTACCTAAGTATAAAACACTATACAGTTTTTGTAGACTCTTTCAATTTTTATGCGTATGGGTATTTGGCCTCCATGAACAGATAGTGCACCACATACATACCTGGGGCCATGAATCCCTTAGAGTTGGAATTATAGACAGTTGTGAGCTGCCATGTGGGTGCCGGGAATTGAAAATGAGTCCTCTACAGCAGCAGCCACTGCTCTTAATCACTGAGCCATCTCCCTAGCCTGACTTTTTCCAAGTTATAATTAAAAGATATGGTTATAGAAGCTGGAATTGGCCCAGAGTTCAACAGTCTTGGACAGCGGAGGAAGAGAAGGAAGCAGGGGAGGAGGAGGAGGAGGAGGAGAAGGAGGAGGAGGAGGAGGAGGAGGAGGAGGAGGAGGAGGAGGCGGCAGAGAAAGAGGAGGAGGAAGCCAGCCCTGCAACTTCAGAGAGCCCAGCTTTCTGAAGTCGGAAGGAAATGCAAAGACCCTATTTGTGGCTGCAGGAGAGGAAAAGAAGAGTCCCACAAGGAAACGACCGACAGATGGTAAATACACTTTTAATTCTTCTGTCATACTGTGTGGACTTGTGCACATTTGTCCTGCTGTGTTAGGCCTGAAATAGCTGTCACGGACCTCCAAAAGAGTGAGTGCCGCAGCCATGGGAGATTCGGGAGGCCCTGAGAGCTGACAAGCAGGAAGGGTTAATAGAACAGGTGAGTTTGCTCCCAGTCAGTTCTTCTTCAAGGTGCTTGCTGACAGTCTCGGTGCAGAACATCCTCTTGTATGTCGGGTCTCAAGGGTGATGTTTCAAAACATGCTCTCTGGGCCCTGCTTACAATGATTACATGTTGACACTACTCATTTAATGACTCCAAAAGTTACAGGGAGCAAGGACCATTGATTGACAGGTCCTAAGTACTCCAGGGGCTGTCACCAATACCTGTAGTTCAGACTTCTTCATCTCACCCTCTCCCAACTCTTAATGGGATAGCATGTTCCCATGGGACACGGTAGAAATTTCAGTTCCGGAGCAAGGAGCAATTTGATCGTGGATTTCCCGGCAAAGAACCTGAAAGGGTAACACTCCAACTTCCTGTCTGTGTACTCTGGTTCTAAGAGATGATGGGAGACCATCACCAGGAGGGAGTCATCTCCTTACGTCATCTCCCGTGGTGCAGCAGGGGGAAGGAGATGTGGTGAGGAGCCCCACTGGAGGAAGAACAATGAAGCAGGTTGACGACCTCATCCCAGACTGAGGGACAGAACACAATGCTGTACCGTTAAGACTGTATCCCTAGAGGACCCAATTTTGTTTTGTTTGTTTGTTTGTTTGTTTTAATAGGCATAAATCTGGGACAAAGAGATGCAGGAAATTGGGAAAGACCTTGCGATTAGCGGCATACTGATGAATCCGTCAGTAGAACCCAAGACACTTCTGTCTCCCCACGCGTGTTTTATCTCCTCAAGGAAGGTTGGCACGGCTATGACACCCTTATCTGAGGTTAGGTGACCTTGGTTGTGGCATCTTTTGTAGTTGGGTTTTTGTAAATCAGGATGAAGGAGTCTGTGGCTGCTTTGGGAAATTGATGATAATTCTTTATCAGTAAGGTTTCAAGCTGAAATGTGTTTGTTAATTTTTGTCCTAACCCCCTGTGGATTGTGTCTGGGTTATACAGCTATGACAGTATTGGGCACAGCTGGGCCCCTCTTTTCATGAAGTGGCAGAGAACATTACTAGATAAGAATTAAAGGCGTTGCTGAAGGGACTCCGACACTTGCACACTGGCTTCCCAGCAGGGCATGGCTGATGGGAGAACCTCTCCCTGCTTTTGTTGGGTGCAGAAATGACAGGAACTTACTGTCTTAGTCACAGAAAACACAGCAAGATCTCCCTGGCTCTGTTCAGTCCGAAGAAATCCTGGTCCATATAGTACAAGTGTCTGTAAGACTAAGCAAGTTGTCACACAGACGATTTTACATCTTCATAGTCCCTGAGTAAAGTCTCTTCTTAGTTGACAATGACTGTCCCACATAGATAATTTAGAAACAGAGAACTCCGAGTTCTTGCAATTCTACCCCAAATGCTGATTTTGTCTTTTCTGCATATGATAGCTACAGTGTTTTCTTTCTCCTGGTTCTGTGGTGAAATCTTTTAATCTGCTTTGTTTGCATAGAATGTTCTTTGCTGTAGAGAATCAGTGTGACCTTTTGAGTACACCTCTTACATGTATTGAGCGGTGCCATGACCATGTGACAGATCTGGGGCTGAGGGAGGGTGACAACCATTTTGACTGAGTTATTTTCAGTTGAACAGTAATGAAGGCACACTTTAAATTATTTCATCCCTGTGATCCAGATTTGATTATCTAGCTAATATCACTAGGGACAATTGAAGCTTTAATAATTACACTCAGGGTCTTTAAAAAAAAAAGAAAATTGTGTTTAGTACATTCATTCATACACAGCCTTGGAGACTTAGCCTCCGAGAGCCTTTCTGACTGCCTGAGAAATGATCCTAAGATTCCACCTTGAGATCCAGTTCAGCTGAAACTATTTCAAATGAAACAAAAGCTCGCTATAAAATATTATCTCTTTTAGAAGGGTGGAACAGTTCTTATTTGAAAGTGTAAAAAGCACAGACTGTAGTTGTTTTTTATTTGTTTTTTTTTCTAATTATTATTATTCTTTGGGGCCTACCACACAGCTCCCCAAAAATACACAGAGACTTATTCTTACTTATGAATGCCTGGCCTTAGCTTGACTTGTTTCTAACTAGTCTACATTTTGCCTCCAAGCGTGTTACCTTTCTTTATTCTACATGTCTTTCTTTCTTTCTTATTCAGTGACTGGTTGTGAGTCTGTGCATCTGGCTCTGGCATCCTCCTCTCTTTCTCGTTTTCTCACTCCTTCCTCCTTGTTTCTCTTTTCTTACTTATTCTCTCTGCTTGGCAGCTTTCCCTATCCCTCTCCTGCCTAGGTATTGGTTGTTTAGCTCTTTATTAGACCAATCAGGTGTTTTAAGCAGGCAAAGTAACACAGCTTTACAGACCTAAACAAAAGCAATATAAAAGAATGCAACATGGTCAAGTGGTGGTAGCATTCGCCTTTAATCCCAGCACTGGGGAGGCAGAGGCAGGCAGATCTCTGTGAGTTCGAGGCCAGCCTGTTCTATGAGAGCTATTTCAGGACAGGCTCCAAAACTACAGGGAGACCCTGTCTCAAAAAACAACAAATAAATAAATAAATAAATAAATAAATAAATAAATAAATAAATATAAAAAAGTAAAAGGAAAGCAGAACACCTTTGCATCATTAAACAAATGTTCCACAACATAAACAAACACAACACATCTGAAACTAATACTCCCCACAACAGGGCGTTGGCTTCACCTTTTCTTGTGGAAGACAGCTTTAGAACTACTTCCTTGCAAAGATCTAAGGGCAGGATTCTTCCTCCCAGTATGGGCTCCAGTATGAAACAACACCATTTTGAAGTTGCCCTGCATTGTAGGCCAAGGGCTCATCCTGTGGCCAAATGCCATATATATATCCGTGGATATATATATATATATATATATATATATATATATATATATATCCGTGGATTTCCATATCCTCAGAAACAAATCAGCTTCCCAGAGAAGCTCAAATCCTACAACAGCTCTGATTTACATAAACGCAGGCTAAGGATGTGATACTGTTTAGCATTCTGGGTAGCAAACGGGGAAGAAGAAACTCAATTGGAAACCACAGTTCTTTCAATGTCAGAGTGAGATACATCATCTATCACAAACACATGTCATGACACATGACCTCTGCCTAGGGGTTCCACACAGTCTGTGCGGTCCAAAAAGAAGTAAATGAGTTTACTGACTCCCGGCTTTGCTTCAAGAAAGTAAGCAAACTACCGCTCAGGGCCCCACGGATAACCCTCCCAGTGTTGGAGGACCCGAGACTGGATGTAAGGTACCATTGGCTACATGGTTTCCATTGGTTTTAAAAGAAAAAGTCCAAAGGCTTACAAAACTCTCGGGTTGGGGGAGAGTATGCTGTGTGTCTTTTCCTGGGGAGACCTAGCAAACATCTGTTCATACCAGATGGCAGCAAGGCGAACCAGAGACAATTGTACCCAAGTCTAGCTAGGGGAACTTAGGAAGTTTATTGGGGTTACTTATGAGAGTGTGGGTGACTCAAAAGCCGTTGTATTATCTGAAGATAAAAACCCACCCCAGCATGAGTGATAGTTCACAAACCTGCAGCCCTGAAGCGCCTTGTACAATGTGCAGTTGGGTCCATGCAAGAGAGTCTCTTCCTCCAGTCAAATGCTGCCTAAAGGCTTGCATGAGTACAGGAACGGGCGTGCGAATCATGGAACTTTCCCCAAGCCTCTGTAAATCTCTGTAATGTTCTGTGGATTATATGCCTCCCTTCTCCTCCAGAAGAAAGTGTTTCAGTTGGGAAGAAATGACTGTTCAACAAAGTCTAACCATTTTTTCTTTGCTGACAAAGTAAATTGTGATCGGAAGGCTTTTCCATGCTGGCAAGTTTTATTCCGATCTGTGGGTGGTTACCCAGGGGTACCCACTGTGTGATAAGCCATTAAGCCATGTATGTGTGATTCATATATTTTTCCACAGACTGATTTGTTTCAGTTAAAAGGTTTAAAACAAATACCCCCCCCCCCATGGACAATATAATTCTTTAAAAGTGTTAGAGCAGCATTTTTTCTTAATTAAATAAATTGATAACTATTAAAGAGGAAAACAGGAAACTTGGATAAAAAGAAGAAAGCTAGAGAAAGGTGATACTCATCCCCGGTATAAAACAATGGGAACCCTCAGACCTGGGAATTGCTACCACGCTATTGGTGAACTGTTAGGTATTACCTACTATCCAGCACCTGAGATGTGAACCCCAGGGTGCACATCCACCACAGGAAGAGAGTTTCCTTTCATAACAGCCAAGCACTGGAGACAAGGGGAAACATCCATCAGCAGAAAATATCATAAAATGTCGTTTATCCAGTTTAGGAATACCTTATCACACCATAAATCAGTGGGAGTAAAATAGAAAAGAAATGCATATGCTCCCACATATTTTCCTTCATTTTCTTTCTTTTCTTTCTTTCTTTTTTTTTTTTTAAGAGAGCTGGGATCTGGTTCAGTAGGTTACAGCACTTGCCACTCAACCATGAGGACCTGAGTTCTCATCCCCAGAACTCACATAAATCCTGGGTCTATGCACACATATCTGCCATCTTCTGTAGTTGACTGTTTTTGATTCTTTACTCTTTTTACTCTTTGGCTCTTTTGGGGGCCCCACCACCTAGCTCCCAAATAAATCACTTACACAAAAGCTTATTCTTACTTAGGAACGCCCAGCCTTAGCTTGACTTATTTCTATCCAGCTTTTCTTAACTTAAATTATCCCATCTATCTTTTGCCTCCGAGCTTTTACCTTTCTCTATCTCTGGATATCTTTTCTTTACTTCTTACTCTGTGGCTGGCTGGGTTGCTGGTGGCTGGTCTTTTCTCATTCCTTGATCTCTCTCTCTCCTCAGATTTCTCCTCCTATTTATTCTCTCTGCCTGCCAGCCACACCTGTCCTTTCTCCTGCCTTACAATGGGCCGTTCAGCTCTTTATTAGACCAATCAGGTGTCTTAGACAGAGTTAAACAAATGCAGCATAAAAGAATGCAACACATCTTTACGTCATTAAACAATGTTCCAACAGAATAAACAAATGTAACACAGCTTAAGATAATATCCCACAACAATCTTCACATTCCTGCGGGAAAATGGAAGGCACAGACAAGAGAGTCCCATAGTACAGTGGAAGAACCGTAGAAGACCCTGTTTCAAAGAAGGCAGAAGGTAGTGACAACTGGAGTTGTCCCCTAACTCCTATGTAGGAGGACTGGCATGCACGTACATTTAAACACATATAAATTTTTTAAAAATTTAAAAGTATTCTCTACCAATGCATACTTAAGTAGTAAAACTATAATTCAAAAAGAAAGAAAAATGTGGTAGGAAGAGCAGTTTAAAAATAGGCAAGGGTGTCCCTGGGTCATGGGTGTGGGAGAACTGGCCCTGCCTCTCGCCAGCTGCAGCACTCAGGACAGCAGCCCTGCACCCCTTGGGCAGCACAGTAGAGTTGGTCCTGCTGAAATGGGTGCAGGTGAGCCGGCCCTGAGGGCACGAGGGCATGAGGACTGGCTCTGCCCTTTGCTGTCTGAGGTACCAGGTGAGCTGGGGGGCAGTGCTGACCACCTCAGCTACCACCCAGGCCCAGAACCAGGGTTATGAGTTAGCCCATCAACACCCACCCCATCCATGATCGTCAGGAACACGTGAAGGGGGATGAACCTACAGATCTGCAGGATCTGCAATGCACCAGGCAACAACAGGCTATCCAAGAGGAGTCCCAGGAGGGCCCAATATCGGTAGTGTAGCAGAAGCCAGAAGCCCCAAACCGGATCAATGACTCATTGCAATGAGCGCTTGCAAGTAAAGACGCATGGACTAAAGAGTACACTGTGTGACTCACTGTGACACGCTACAGCTTCCATGGCAAGATGTTTTGCAAGGGCAAAGGGCAGATAGGAAGGGATGGGGAGATGAAATCCACAAAGAATCAATAAAGCAGTTTTAAAAATAGGGATGGTGGATTATTATCAAAAAGGTTGGGCGGAAGGAATTGGGGTTGGGTTTCATTTACTCTGTAACCACCCAAATATGCAGTTTATATAATTGATTAAGTTGGACTTTCTGTATGTATCACTGTTTTCTCACATGTGCATTTCACCAAAAAGGTATGTAAAAAAGCCACACGAAACTCTAGGACATGAAGGGAGTTAGCACTGTAACACTTCACTACATCCTTACTGCCAGGCCTCCTTTACTGCCGTGTGGATAGTCTGCCCACATTTCTTTCTAGCCTTTCATTTTTCCCCATGTTAATGACATGTCTTCCCAGACGAGTTCCTCTTCCAGTTTCTTTTTTTTCCTTCCCCGTTTCTATTTGATTTTAACTAAGAGGAAAGACCATACAAGCTTTATGCCTCTCTGGAAGCCCAAAGCCATAGGATGGCTTTCAGGAAATTAGGTTGCTTTAGCCTAAGCTACAGTGATTCACAAACCAATCTGCAGGATTTTGCCATAGCTCATGGGAGACATTTCCTTCTCTGTTAATAATGCAGCTGCTTAAAGATGAAGGGGGGGGGAGGCCTCCTTCTCACCTCATTGGGTGCAGTAGCTTCAGAAGGAAAGGCCAGGCAGTGAGGGAGAGAGACTGGCAGGGTGGTGGCCCGGGGGCTTGAGGCAAATGCACAGCTCAGAGTGGCGTTCCCACCTGCCCAGTTCATGTCACCTGGATGTCAGACCCAGCCTCTTCCAGCAAGCACCCTGGAACAGATTTCCAAACTGATTTAGGACTTTTTAAAAATTCCTGTAATGATTCATATTGATCACCAACTTGATAGGAGAAAATCGGGGCATGTCTGTGAGGGGGTTTCTAGATTGCTTTAACCGAAGTGAGAAGACTCCCCTGAAGGCAGACAGCACTGTCTGTGGGCTGGCATCGGGAACTGAGTAAAAAGGAGTGAGCTGAGAACCAGCAGGCATCCTTGAGGCATCCTGGCTGTGGACACAGTGTGGTCAGCTGTTGCACGCTCCTGCTGCCGTGACTTGCCGAGGATGCTAAACTGCCCTCTCAAGCTCTGAGCCAATAGGAACCCTTTTCTCCTTGTTACATTGGTCAAGCATTCCACAGCAACAAGAAAAGTAACCACAACAGCCGAGACAACCTAAAGTAGTTCTGTTGCTTGTCCTTGGTGCACCATGGTGCTTCCTTCTGCCCTGAACAGGTCAAGGCACTTGACAAAGGAGCACACATTTTGGGTTTGGCCATCTTGCTCTATCTACTCTCTGAATCTAAGTTCTCCCCCCACCCCACACCCCCGTGCTCATTCTGGAAGGGAAACAGAAAGCAGTCATACAAAGGCACAGGAAGAGGAGAGAAAGGTCAGATGTGATGCTGGCGGGACTGGATGGAGGACAAAGGTGCGGGGCCGCTGCAAAGTGAGCGAGTGGCGCGTCTCAGAACCCTCTGCATTAGGACACCACAGGCATTGGCATCAGTGAAGGATCCTGTGAGAACTTCCGAATTCAAACATACCGAATCAGAGCCTGCATTTGAACAGGAGTTTCAGGAATTCTTGTGTGCGGTTCTGATTGGCATCACTATACTTTGGCATATTAATAGAGGAAACTGGTTTGGCTGCTGGGGGACCTAGCAATCCCATTACCAGATGACCCCCACTTTTCGTTCTCGCTAGCACTCCAGAGAAGCCTGTGGTCCTACCTGTTAGTTCTCTGTTCTCCACAGAGAGCTGAGGACATTGCAATCTTGCCCTGAGTCTTCCTTCTCTCTAAACTGCTGATGTGACCCTTCTCCACCTTTAGGGACAGGCCAGCCACATCTGAACTGTTAGCCTGAAGCAATGCCTGATTTTGACTGTTATTACCTGGGCTTCATTCAGCAGTGTACCCATCTACAGATAGGATTCCAAATCACCAAGTCACGTGGTCCACCCCCACTTCAACAGGTTTCTAACCACTGCACATTGGCCTTCCCAACTGCCCCCAGGGGATGCTCAGTGTATCAAGCTCTTTGGGTCACTGTGACAGGGTACTTGATAGGTAAGTCTAGGAAAGATTGGTTTCTTCTGAGTCTGAGGAATTTTCACCCACCATGATGACAGAGGCACGCATGGTGGCAGAAGCAGCTCTGTTTTTGCGGCAAGAGCCTCGAGGGGGTGATTGGAGATCAGAAGACAGAGTGCAGCACTGAACCAAAAACACGGATAACTTTCAATGTGCCCAAGATTCCAAACGGTCCACGGTGTCCATAAACAACACTGTCAGCTGAGGGCCAACAGTTCAAACATGTGGTCCCATGGAGGGTACACTTCACACTCACACCAGAACCGCCAGTGCCCCTTTTGGTGGCTGAATATCAGCTTTGTCCCCTTCCCACCGGCAGGTGCTACTCTTGACCCTGCAGGCTCTGCACTCGTTCTCTCCTACAAAAGAGGAAGAGGCCAGCAGAAGCCAATACAAACAGGCCACACCTTCTCTCTTAGCATCCGTGACCCCAGGACCTGGTGTGCCTGTTTCTGCAAGACCATGAAAGCCCAAAGATTGTCTTCTCTGCCCTGTAAGTTAAAAACAGCTTAAAAAGGAAAGATTACATAAAACCAGCCCGATAATTTTGCATAACTGCTGTATGGCTCCCCCCCCACTGAGGACTTTGTTGCCTGATGTATGTTATAAAAGCAGTCCAATTCGCGCAGAAGCTCCATAATTTCTCTGGTTGCTATACAGCTATTTTGCTCTGACTGCTGATATTTACCTCCCGCCACGCTCAGTTTATAGCAGTCAGTAAATTACTTCAAGCGCGGTGCATCTGCGACTGCGGTTTAAGCCAGGACAAAATGGCATGAGAGGTTCGTTCCATCAGGCTGGCTGTCAGTTACGGGAGGGTCAGGTTCCACATGGCTGTGCCTCCCCACTAATGAGTGATAATATACTTGCTGTATTGTTATGTGCACGCAGGCATGTGCGTATTTGTGCGCCTGTGTATGTGGGATCACCTGTGTGTAGGTAGGTGCACACTTGCGTGCCAACATCTGTGGAGGCCTGAAACTTATATTGGGCATCTTCCCTGACCCCGGTGACCCTTCCACCTTACTCTTTGAGGCAGGATCTCCCAATCAAACCCAGAGCTCGATGACTCGGTTAGTCTTTCTGGCCAGCTTGCCGCAGGGATCCTCTGTGTCTACCTTTCAAGGCTAGAACTATGAGCCAGCGTGCTGGCCCGGCATTTATATAGGTCCTAGAGACCCGAACTCTGGCCCTTCTGTTTGCATGCTAAGCACTTGTTCTACTGAGCCATCTCCCCGCAGCCTGACTTACTGTGTCTTTAAGAATGTTTTTATCATTCCTATTCCTAGGAACTATTCTGGTGATTTGGAAGAAGAAAAAAAAAAAAAAAAAAAAAAGGAAGAGAAAGCAAACAGAAGTGTGGCAGCACCCCAGTAGCAAAGCAATGGTGTGGGTGTTGTTTCTATTACATACATACATAACACTTTTCACAGACTCCAAATGTCTTACAAAAGAAAACACAACACAAATTCCAATAAAGACGTGGCAACACGGTGAGCGACGGAGAAAACAATTACCCAAGGAAATGTAAATCTGGCAGAAATCATTTGCAGAGAAAGAATGGGTGAGAACCCATCGACTCAGCCTGCGTGGACAGACATATTCGTGGGGCAGCACCGGCATGTTTGGAAAAGAAGTACAGCCAGCCAGCCAGCCAGCCAGCCCTGGGTATCTGTGAGATCCACATTTCTGTACCCAACCAAGCAAAACTACAGTTGCACCTGTGTTGAACATGTTCAGACTTTTGTCTTCTTGTTACTCCTTAAACAACATAGTGGAACAGCTTGCACAACATTTACATCGTGTGGGGGGTTGCGAGACTCAAGGGATGGTGCAGCGTATCCGGGAGGAAGGACACGATGCCATGCAAGTGCGAAATAATGTCACATCAGGGACACTGAACACCTGCATAATTTGCTACAGGTGGGGCGGGGTCTTAGAATCAATGTCCCACTGATACCAAGGGAGGGGTATAATGTCAAGTCAGAGGTAAAGTGTAGGAACTCAATTACCCATGCCTAAAGTCCTTTGAACAAGAGCTACATGCTGTGTGATGAGCTTACTTCAGTTGCTCAAGTTGCAGATGAACTCACTAAATTAGGAGACTAGCAAATGTGTGTGCGTGTGCACATATGTATATGTGCGTGTGTGTGCGTGCGTGTGTGTGTGTGTGTGTGTGTGTGTGTGTGTGTGCAGGAGCATATAGCTGACATGCATAGAATTTTCCAAAAGATACTCTTGACTGAGCAAAATCAAAGGCCCTGCAAAGGAAGAGCCCCAGACTAGAAGGACCAAGTGGAAAGCGAACACCTTGTTTTTATTTGCATGTCATCTGCGCTGCACTTTTCTTCAGGTCTAAGTTCAGGACAGACAGTAGCTGTAAATGAAAAGGAAACTATGTTTGAAGTTGGTTAAAATCGCAGATTTTGGGGAGGGTTATCGTGCCAGCTCACCTTCGGTTGCTTTCAGTTCTCAGTGTGCGCCTACGTCAATTGAGTAAGCCTCCATCCAACCATTCAAGCTTTTAGAAAAAGGGACTTTTTCTATGAGATGCTCCCAGGGCAATTACAAAAATGTTAAAGAAGCTTAAGACGTTATCATTTTGTAGAGTAATGTTAACGGTGCTACTACAACGCTAAAGACTTATTTATTTTATAGACGTGTGTGAGTTCCTGCATGCACGCATGTGCATCACGTGCATGCCTAATAATACCTGCAGAGGCCAGGAGAGGGTGTTGGATCCCCTGGAATTGGAGTTATAAGCAGTTGCAAGCTGCCTCATGTGGGTGCTGGGAACCAAACCTGGCTCTTCTTGAAGAGCAGCGGGTGTTCTTAAGTAGCGAGCCACTACAGCTTTAGGGTGTATGGCAGTGGCCAAAATACTCAGAATTATGATGTCATTTGTCTTCTTTGGTTCACAAGTCACACGGTACAATCAGCACATCGGTGCTCTGAGGATTCAGCAGTGGAAGAAAGCACCAGGTCTCTCCTCTCGAGAGCAGCTATTATTAGCTGGCTCTGATCCCCTCATAGGCTGCATAGCCATGCTCACTAACCTGCACACTCCCTCTGTCGCATCCGTCCACGAATGAGTGCTGCCGTGCTCTGTGCTCCAGCGAAGCCAGCAGGTGCCCATTGGCACGAGCCCTTCCAAAATTAAAGGGACAAGGGCATTAGAACATTATTTGGGTAGGATGGTGTAGAGGTCTGTGTGGAGCCACACCTGATAATCAGCTCCTAATATTGGCTGGGGCCTGATCACGCAATGATTGTCAGCTGCTTGCATATGCGTGGACCTAGGGGCAGTGCCCACCTGGCAATCCGGGGTTGGCGGCCCGTGCCTTTATAAGGGCTAGGAGAGGTTTGCCCGGAGAGAGAGGGGAAAAGAGAAGGAGGGAGAGAGAAGAGAGAGAGAGAGAGAGAGAGAGAGAGAGAGAGAGAGAGAGAGAGAGAGAGAGAGATACAATTGTTAAAAAAGGTCCTGAATAAACTGCTAGCTGGAAGAGCTCCGGTGTCGCGTCATCCTTGCGGGTCGAGGCAGAACGTGACAGGATGGCGTGCACTTTCATATTTGCAAAGACATCAAACCTTTATATACAGAAAACGTTGTGATGCCTAAACTGGACCTCCCTCACCCCCCCCACCAAAATGCATTCCAAATGAGCACCTGCACTTATGCCCTTATTTGGAAAGAGCGCCTTTGTACCTAGGCAGCTAAGGTGATGTCATACTGAATACGGGTAAGAGCTAAATCAGTATTATAAATACAGTGGTGTATTTATAGTAGGACGCTGTAGAAACACACAGAAGATTGGCAGGGAAGAGAGACAGAAATTAGAGTGGCCTGGAGGGATGGCTGGTAAAGAGCTTACTGTGCAAGCAAGAGGACCTGAGACTGAACGCCCAACATTTATATTTGATTTTTGTTGTTGTTGAATCTCAGCACTTGGGAGGCAGATTGTTAGGGACAGATTGTTAGACCTTGCTGGCCCACTAGCCTAGGCAAGTCAGTGAGCTCTAGGTTCAAGAATAGACCCTGTCTCAAAAAATAAAGTGGAGGGGGTTGGACAGATGGCTCAGTGGTTGAGAGCACTGACTGCTCTTCCAGAGGACCCGGGTTCAATTCCCAGCACCCTCGTGGAAGCTCATGGCTGTCTGTGGTTCCAGTCCCAGGGGACCTAACACCCTTACATGGACATAGGTGCAGGCAGAACACCAATGCACATAAAATAAACATAAATTATTTTTAAAAAGTGGAGTGCACTGATGTCAACTTTTGACTTTTACATACATGTACTTCTATGAACATGTGAACATTTATACGTACACACTAGAAGAAAAAAAATTGGACTGATAACAATCCCAAACAATTCAGTGGGTGATAATGTTATGTCAACACTTATGTTAGTGTTTTCCTAAAATTAATATCTTAAAATCTTAACGTTCCCAATGAAATGATATTAGGATGGAGGCCATTGGAAGGTATTTACATCACGACAGGGTGAATCTCATGAAAAAAATCAGTTCCAGTGTTAGAAGTGACCTAAGGGAGGGTATTTTTATCTTCTTCATGTAATGATAGAAGAAGATAGCCAGGTGCAAATCAGGAAGTAGGTATTGGTCACCTCCTGGTCTGGTAGACCTGGACCCTGCGCTTCCAGAACCTTGAGAATCAGTGTTTGTTGCCTAAACCACCTGGTCTATAATATTCTGCCTACCTGAGGCTGGGACAGTGTTGAAACAGTGTCAGTTCCCCCCCCCCCCCCAGGAAGTGTGACCCTAATTCCAGATTCCTGTTTCTAGAATTTGGAAAAAAATACAGTCTTGTTATCTTAAGCTTGCTGGTTTGTAGTATATTATACCAGTCCTGGAAACAAAAGCAATGTCTAGTATCCAGACATGAAAGTAAATACCGCTTAGTGGGGGGTACAGGCCTGTATTAAGAGTTATTTGGGAAACTGAGGCAGGAAGATAGCAAGCTCAAAACCAGACTGGGTTACAGAGTAAGTCCAAGGATAGACCGGATAACTTAATGGGACCGTGTCTCAATTAAAGAGTAAAAAGAAAGCTGGGGATACAACTCTGTATTGGAGGGGTTGCCTAATACATGAAAGATCCTAGATTCAGCCTCCAGTACTACCAAAACCAAACTAAAACAAAAACCCCAGAGACCTGATACCAGCAATTCCTTAGACTACAAAACACAAGAAGGAAAAGCCTACTTGCCACCAAGACATGTCAATCATGTGCCAAAGCCGATTAGAAATGGGTCATTTTGTCCCAAGAAGGCAGGAACGAAGGTTCAGTCAAAGTGTAAATATTCACCTCATCTTTGTTTCGCCTATTTATTTGTTCATCTGAGGTAGGGTCTTACTATGGAACCTAGGCTGGCCAAGATTCATGCTCCCGTGCCTAAGGCTTCCCAAGAGGTGGCATTGTAGGTATAAATCACCATATCTAGTCTCAGGCATCACGTTTTAGAGTAACATATGAGATCCTCACTTTAAAAGGTTTGCAAAGGAGCGAGCTGGGGCTGGAAGTACAGCTTAGTGGTAGAAAGTCCTAGCACGCTTGCATTCCCGGGTTCAATCCCCAGCGTACGCACCCAGCAAATGCAAAGGAGATTGTCAAAATCTGATTCCGTGCCATTCACAGCCCTCACATAAACCAAACATGCATTAAAATGTGGGAACTAGATGAGAGGGTAGTGTTGATTTCTAGAAAAAGCACATATTTGGGGTATTTCTCTTTTCAAGATTACTAGGGGCAAAGAAAGCACTGAGTAGACCGCTTGGCTCAGACAAGGGTTACCTGGATAGAGGGAACAGAACTCAAAAAGCAGAGGTCTGAGGTGGTGGACAGTCCAGAAGGCTGAGGAAAAGGCCAATGACCAGTCACATGAAGACATTCTCACACCCTCATAGAAAAACAGACGTGAAAAATGCCCCACCCTCAAGTGCTTCCAAAGACCACCAATGAGAGAGGAGCTTGGAAATACCAACCAAGGCCAGAGAACAGCGAAGCTCTCCATAGGCCCAGCAAGCAAGTAAGCAGGGGCCTGCTTCTCTTCTCCCTCAGTCCCCCAGGACTCCGCTCAAGAAAGTGTGAAGACTCCCCCCCACCCCCCGCCCCCAAGAGCTAAAAGGCAAGAGATACAGGGAGGAGAGAGAAGCCACCTCTCTCCAAAACTGAGCTGATGCTGCATTATCACATGGAGCTTTGTGCCTCAGCTTCTGACATTTTGCTTAGGACATCTCATTACCTGCAAGTGACCGGAAGAACAAAATTTATTCTAAATTTTCTTTAAGAGCCGAGCGAGTATTGAGTCCATAGGCTGAATCGGATGGGCTGCTCTGTGATTGACTGCATCCTCTGAGTCATGCTTCTTCAATGGAGTAGTTACATAACTCCATCTAAGTACATTTGAGGGAACAGTTCTTGTCCCTTCTATATATTTTTCTTTATGAACACGCCGCTTCTGTCTGAGCTCTGGAAAATCATGTCAAATTATGGAGACCTCATCCCTTCCTGTTTATCAACACCTAGGATATATCTAAAATGAAAGCCACTCGGGGCTTATTGCACATCAGGTGATCAATAATTATTGAGCTCATCAGCAAATAAGTGATCGGTGAACAGAAATACAAATTGCATAAACTCTTTATAAATCTGGCCATTCCCAAATCCTTCTCGGCTAGAATAAGCAAGCAATACGCCATGTTTGTGATTTAGAAGACATTTCTTTCAGACCCTTTATACATGAAACTATAAAATCCTAGTATCAGATATTTAGGGAGTGATTTAGAAGCATCTCTTATTTTCATTTAGGAAGGCTGCATTCATGACTTATTGTCGCTGTAACAAAACACCTAAGAGAAATTACCTCAGGGACGGGTTGATTTCGGCTCAGTTTCGGGAGATACTGTCTGTTGTGGTAGGAAGGCCCAAGCAGTGTTGGAGGAGGCCCGTCACATTCAGAGGGAAGGGAACAATGAATGTTGACACCCAGCTCACTTTCCTCCCTTTATTTATCTAGAACTCCATGAAAAGATGTCACCCATCTCAGGGTAGTGTTTCTAACCTCAATTAACCCAATGTAGAAATTCCTTCACAGACATGCTCAGTGGTTTGTCTCCTAGATGATGGTAGATCCTGTCCAGATAGCAATAGTAACGATCACAAAGACCATAAGAAGCTTAGTAATTTGACTAAATTCACCCCTTTTTGTAGTAGTGTGGGGCCTGGAAAGCGGGGCTTGACTCACCGGTACAGACATGTTCTGCTTTCTGGGCTCCTTGCTGACTTGGCTTTGAGTGACAGCCTAGGTTCTCCCTACTAGTTTTCCCATCACTAAGTAAAAAAAAAATACAAAAGTTGGCTCTACCTAATAATCACAAAGAACCTTCCCATGCTAAGAATGAAACCCTGCACTCTGAGAAAGAGAAGAGTTGGGACCAGCTATTGCTCTCAGAGAGCCTGTGGCCAGGTTCAGGAACAGGCACTAGAAAGGAAAAAATAAATAAAGTTATAATAAGGCTACACGGTAGGAAAAGACAGCTGGCAACATTTTAAAAAGATACCAGTTAAGGCCTCAAGGGCCATGGAGGGCTTGTTAGCGAGGGCAATGTCTCAGTTGAATCACAAGAATGAGGAACGTTTAGTAAGCATTTTGGATTCAACAAAATCTAAAGGATAAACTAAAGAAGGCATCGCTGAACACAAGGGGGCAGGAGAAGAGATCAGTCTTGAAGCCCAGACAAGCAGCAGGTTTTTTTGCTATGCTCAGGCATCTAGACTTAATACAGTCAGACAGAATACAGACTAATGACCTGAGTCAATGTCAATCAGGAACTTCTGAAGTATCTTTTGCAAGACAATGATAGCAAGTCCTGCTACATCGTGGATAATGGCTGTGCTAGGGACACTGAGTCCATCTGGGAAAGAATTGAATTAATTCGTGTTAGAAAAAACGGCAGTGGAGGTGAAAAAGTCCTAAGAATTTCAGAGAAGTGTATTATAGACTATTGAGCTATTTCATGTTACAGACTCATATATTCAAGTAAGTCCCACTAGTGAATGTATTTCCAATGGGCCTTTGGAGATGATTAGATTTTTGATGAGAGCAAATGCTCTCATGATGGCATTAC